ACAGAATCTGATGCAAATTCTTCATTTTTGGAAACCTGTTTTATCGATAAAGTGATGAATCAGCACAACTTTAAGCGTATGTTTGGTTATTTTTCCTGACAGCTGACATGATGCGTTCACACACTGTGGGCAAACTGAAACTCTGATTGTGTTTTTACAGTTTCTGGCTGATAAATGATGCTGTTTTAGAGTTTTTTGGGTTTTTTTTCCCCCAGAGTATTAATAAAAGGAGTTCATGTCATAAAAAACAGGTTTATTAGTTTGAAGAAGGACGTTGACATTTTCCAGCATCTCCGAACACAAAGGCCATAAAGGCTCCTCGGTTAAAAGTCCGTCCGTCCACTTCTTTGTCTTCAGCGGGATTAATGCCTCCCCGGGCTCCACTTGGACTTAAACCTCCACCGTGAACCACTTCCACTCCATCATCCGTCCCGTTTGTGTTTATCGCTGCCAGATCACGACTTGAAGAGTTTCCCCCCGACTCCCACAGTGAGCTTCAAAGAGCTGCTTCACCTCCACCGGCGGCGGGAGGAGGCTGTTTGAGGGGGACACGAGTCGGCGGAGATATGTGTGTCTCCCCGAGGTTCACGACTCCTTATATAACACATTTGAAAGTTGCTATCCCTGACGCAGGCTGCTCCGCCACTGCTGCTGAACTTTTGACTCGCGATGCTTACTCAGGGATTCGGAGGGGAGGCTGTTTGCAGGAAGAGGGAAAATAAGAGTAATGGACCGGGCTGTGCTCGGTCTCCTTGATATTGTAATGCCTCTCCTTGATCTGCAGATTGCTGGTAAATATTTACCCAACGGGCTGAACCCTGAAGTCTCCCAATCCAAACGGTCCCGGCACAAGAAATAACAGCACATTAATATTCATAGCCGGTTTAATGCAACATGAATGACGGATGCAGCAGCAGCAGCAGCAGCGCCTTGGTTTCTGGATATTTAAGGGCAGCAGATCCGTCCAGAGTGACGCAGCCTTGCTTCTAGTTTCAGCACCAACTGGAAACCACCCAGCGCAGATGTTTAGGAGGTTTATTGTGTCTGATCCCAACCAATCGGTTTTAACCTCAGCTCGGTCTCCGTCACACCACTGGTGACAGGAAACTGAAGGTGCACATTTCTGAAGCGTCATCGATCAATAGTGGGTGAATTACCGTAATGTCTGGACTACAAGCCGCTACTTTATTCACACGCTTTGAACACTGCGGCTTAAACAACGATGCGGCTAATTTATGGATTTTTATGAATTTATTTCGAGACCAAAGCGACGCTGAGAGCGACGACGACAGAGAGACTGAGGAAGTGATGAAGTGATTCTGAGGCTAAAGAAGACGACTTTAGTGGTTTTAGTGCAGGAGGAAGATGAAGATAGCGATCAGTGACTTTTCCTGGTAGGCTGCTGGAGTTTTATTTTCTTAACCAGCCGTGTTACAGGAACTGTTCGGAAAAAAGCATCTACAGTACATATTTGTGTCTATCGATGTACAAAACTTTGATTTGTTTTTAAAGTTAGTGGGCGTGGCTTATATTCAGGTGCCTCAATAGTCCAGAAATTACGGTAATGTGGATTAACTGGGTCTCAAACGTGGCTCTGGTACAGTTTCCACTGAGATATACAAACAGAACATTTGGTTCTGATCCCAGTTTGTCCTGAACACATGATCCGAGTTTGGAGGTCATTAGAGGTCACAGGAGTCGTTGTCATGGTGCCCGTTGCTAGCCAAACCCAAACAGAGCTGGCTGCTCGCCAACACAGATGCCTGTAGTTTGGATGGTTGTCAAGCAGGTATCGCAACTTTAGAATTATTAATGAGCTAATAATCAATTATTTATTAATTTGCATCCTGGATATTTATTCTTCGTTATCCAGGTTAATTCCAGCTTCATTTGACACGTTTTTGTTTCCTGGAGGTCATTAAACATCACACAAGTCTCTGTCATGGTCCCGTTGCTGCTAAACTCCCACAATGCTCTCTGCTGCCACCATGAGCTGTAGTCTGAGTGACGCCTCCTCTGGTCTCTACAGGATTAAACAGTGAGAGGCTCCACCTGGTGGAACAACCAGGTACTGCAGCTGGTCTACGATATGTTTTCTGACATAAATGCAGAAAACTGGAGACGACATTTCAATGTTCTACTGGAGCTTCACAACGATGTTCGTGGCCACATGAAAATACTAAAATTCTCAGGTCTGAAAATTCTCAAAATGAGTTATCTGGGTTCCAAATAAGAAATACGTAAAGTCGGACCAAGAATCAGAACAACAGCTGTAACCATGGCAGCATTTTTAATCCATTCCATCAAGTTTTTAAATCACTCTCTATCAGTTTGTGGTATTTCTGTCTTTAAGTATAGTTTTGTGTAGTTTCTATTATTATTATTATTAGGTTTTCTCTTTGTCCTCTTCTTTCCTTTTCTGTTGGACTGGATTCGTTCTGTTTCTCATCAGTCGTCCGTGAAGCTGGATGAGCGGCATTAAGACCAATAAAGTGTGATTGATGGTTTCTGTGACTAAAATAACTAAAAATCAGACTTTCATCAAACTTAAATCAACACCAGGCGTCAGCGTGAACACTTCAGAGTCGTGACATGATCGTCGTACTTCCTGGCAGTAATTAATCAAACTGTCACCGCTCGCTGCAAATTAAAGCTGTTTTTTTGAACTCCGTGTCACCGTCGTCTGTCTCCTGATGCTCGGCTTCGTCTAAACTTCCTTCATTTACTGTAGAACTTTCAGACGTGCTTAACGTTTTAAATGCGTTATCGCGACTAATTTCCAACCGATGGTATCGACGAGAAATCCTCGCAGCTGTAATCTTGAAATAAAGATTACTGTTTAATCCCAGAAATGGCTGCGTGACAACCGCAGACGAATCCGTCAACAGGGAGCTTCGATTTCACCACAAACTTCCCCCGACGGCCTCGTCTCCTCCCTCGGCTCCACTAAATAATGAATTAAAGGCATTAATCTCCTCGCGCAGCCACTTAGCTCTGCGCTAACCCTCCTTCCATTCCATTTTCTGTCACTCTTCTTTCCACGTTTCTCCAGTAAAAACCCTCTTCGCTTCCTTCCCTTCACGTCCCGTCTTTCCTGTAACTCATTTCTCGTTGCCTTCAGCTGCTCCAGAAGGTTTTCAGGTCACTCGATGAGCGATTACCTTCATTGCCAGTTATTTTCTCACTAAATCGATCGAACGTTTGGTCCATAAACTGTCAGAAAATGGTGAAAAACGTCCGTCAGTGTTTCCCAAAACCCAAAGATGTTCAGTTTACTGCCACAACGGACGAAAGAAACCAGAAAATATTCACATTTAAGAAGTTTTTTCCCCTAAAATATCACTCAGACTGATTATTTATATATGAAAATAGCTGACAACTAGTGGGTTATTTAGTTAGTTTATCTATTAAGAACATAACGTTCACTGTCTTTATACTGCAGCTCTTATTGGTGACAAAACAAGTCCAGAGATGGTTTACCGATTTCTAGTCTTAGAAATAGAAGAAAAACAAACAAAAAACTGCAAATATCTGTTAAACAGGCTTATTTTATGCTGATTTAAATACAGTACAAACTGTTTTTTTTCTGTAGTTAAGCTGCAAATCAGACAGTTCAAAACCATCTGTAATTTAACAAAAGATCTGCAAAAATCTGTAAAGTAAAAAGATATATATGTTTGTAAAAATTAAAGGCAAATATCTGTAAGATAGGAACATTTTTTTGCTGATTGATTTACAGTAAAAAATATGTAATTTATTGGTAAAATGTTTAAAGGGACAAGTTCATGATTGAAAAAAAAAAAGACTAATTGAAACGTGGACATTATTTACAATTTCGTCCTGTTTTCTTTGTTCAGCTGCAAATGAGATCTTTAGATGTTTTCTGTAATTTAACGAAGTAGAGAAAATCCATTTTTCAGTCCTTAATGTAGATATAGTTTTAAAATAAAGGCAAATATCTGTAAAATAGGGTTAATTTTTGCAGATTAAATGCAGTAATTTTATGGTGAAACATTTCGAAAGAACAAATTTAAAAAACAATGACTGAATTTTGGTCAGTTTTTTTTGCAGCTTACATGTCATTAAATTATTGATTTAAATATGTAATTAACTGCTGATTTAGTAAAAACGGCGTCACTGTACGAATAAATAGAACTAATGAACATTCAGAGAGTTGATGTGACATCACTGAGTTTGTTTCTCTGTAGATGCAGTTTAACAAAACAGGAAAAATCTGTCAAATAATAATGTTGTTGTTACAAAAACTGCTTTAGAGTCTATTTGAGCTTTTGGGGAAGTCGCCTCCAAACCAAACAGTCGATCAGAGCAGCTCAGACTGAGGCGACGTCTCTCGTGATGGTTTCAGCATTTGGACAGAAGATCAGACAGTTCGTCAGTTTGCAGCAGATTGAATTTAAACAACTCCTCCACCAATGTTGGTTATTCTGCGTCTGAACCCTCCCGTCATCCGTCTCCTGTTTCTGCTGCTCGGTCCTGATCCGGACAAACAAGCTGCGCTCACGACGTTGAGCTAAATGTGGCTCTGGAGCCCTGAAGCTGTCAGCGTGATGGAGTGAAGAGCTCTGCTGTTCCAGTTTGCTCGTCTTCTAGCTCCAGTTTGTCATCCTGCCTGCAGGTCGCCTCGTCGTCTCTGCTCAGGTCATCTGCAGTCGAGGCTTCGGTTCGGCGGCTCGACCCGCTTCGTCCACGCACAGCTTTTATACCGACAGTCGGGTTTGTTTATGAATCAGTCGGTTAGTTTATCTGCTGAAAGCTGCACGTTTATCTGGTTTCTGGTGACGCAGCACAAGAACTGTTTTCATCTGTTGCCTGNCAATGATCTAGTTTAAGCTAATAAAGCTGCAAGCAGACTCACCGTCGAACATTTAGCTCATCTACAGCTAACCGACATGCTAATCGATCGGTTGAAGAGTTGGTGTGAGTTCAGTCTACCGAGATGATTCTGGTTGAACGCAGCCCTATAAAAAAACCCGCAGACTCAGTTTGGTTTACTGTCATTCAAACATTATGCAGGATGTTGGTTAAGATGGACACATGATGAATAATTTATTGATTTTGAAAACCTATAACAATATAACAGGAGCCATAGTTTAAAAACTAAACCTTCCAGGGAAAAATCATTCTGAGAAGCTGAGAGACCAGATTTTGCATTTTTTTTCTTTAATTTTGGACTCTTAATGATTATTTGATAACTACAGTATTTCGTTGCGATTGTCTTTCATCAATTAATCGACTAATCGCTGCAGCTGCACGTTCTCATGTGATCTTTTTTGCTGTGACCAATTCATCATAGTCCACCCAGATTTCCTTTGGTTGAACGCAGCCCTGCAATCATCCTCTTGGCACAACATACATGTTTACTGACTTTTACAGCAATCCATCGAACACCAACTTCTGCTTTTCCAACCCTGTCTTGGAGCCGATGTGGAGCTGAAGGCCACAGTCATGTCACACATCTCCAGCAACGCTCACATTGTGTGGAAAAACTGCTAAAATTAGCCTCTGAGTGGCTGCTTGGATTTGAAGGTTTGGTTCCAGTCTGTGCCTGATGAGCGTCGGACGCTGAATGAAGTTTATTTCTCTGCAGCGGCAGCAGAACACGTGCCGATCAATAATGGAGCCACATTCGGCGGTCAGCAGGTGTCCACAGCTGAGGGCGGTTAAACAGCAGCGCCGTGGCTACGAACCGACACTGTAACAGCACACGGTGGCTCTCAAAGGGCCATGAATGTGCTTCCAGTGAGAGCTGGAGCTCCACAGGACGTCATTCCAGCGGAGGAACACAGGATCTGTCACTCGTTCCGTCCAACGAGCTTCCAGCGTGGAAGCTTTATTCCCCAAAAAGTCAGCGCTGGCAGGGGTAGCGCTTTGTAAAGGTACAGTAGAGGCCTGCAGCGCTCAGCGCCGCTAAGCTGTTTTCAATTACAGCAAATTACAGGTTGTTTTAGAGCCGCCTGGACCTTGTGCATGTTCCAACCGCAGCCAGTGTCCCTGCAGGACCTCTTTCAGAGCTGCTTTCTGGAAAAAAAAAAAAAAAGGACCGACTTGAGGGAAGGTATTTCTGAATAGCCTGAAACGCAGCTGAGAGTCTCAGTCTGATTGATTAAACTCAGAATGGACAACCAGCACCGGTATTCTGTGTCCTCATAGAGCGAAAGATTCACGACATGGACTCAGCTGATTATCAGCCTGGTTAGCATTTGTCAGATTATACAAAACTAATCAGGCACATGCGCTACTTTAGACGGACTTGTTGTTGTGGTTGTGTTTCGACGTAATAAACCATCCCAGCCCAGTTCCTCCTTTACACTAATAAAGGCCCAAATAAGTCAGTTGTTGGTGTCAAGGCAGCTGGAAGGTGTTTGGCTGATGGTGCTAGGCTAATGCTAACGCTAAGAGGCTCACTGCCAGGTTAAAGAAACCTTCAAGTTCCTCTGAAACCTCTAAGATGTTACTGCTTAGAACAAAAACTGAGGACTTGTGATAATGGGTAACATAAAGCCTATATACATGTATAAATATATACATACGATGTCTTTTGACAGGAAGTACTGCACACAGTAAAGTCTGTGTAAGAAGCGTCTCTGCATTTTCCTGTTTGTGACCATTTGCTCTTGAAATTCCCAGATTTTTGGGGGGTTTGGCTAAAACTTGCCACCAAAATTCCTCTCTGTTGGAAAACCCAGGAACCACTGTCACATTCCCAAGCAACCAAACGTATCAACACTGACGGGAGTTTCTAATCACTGAGAGAACGCTCGATTACAATAAGTGTTTGTGTTGTTATGTCATCCAGCGCCAGAGAGAAAAGGCTCCTGAGAAAAATCTGCGGCCATCATTTTGCACGCCGCCATTAGGTTGCAAATTGATGTAAATAAAGGTAATTGCGAGTTTCTCTTCCAGCCTCGACTGTAATACTTTAATAGCGTGATCTAATTGTCTAAATCAATTCCATATGGTAATGTATTAAAATCAGCTATTGGTATAATCAGCTTCGGCTCTGAACGGTCCCAGCAGACGCTGTAATCAACAGAAACAGGACTTAATGAGATTATGCTGACAAACAGCAGCTTGAGGCGGAATAAGAGAGGGTTGGTAATGCAGGTGTTCGCATTCAGATTACTGCATAGGATTTACTTAAAGACGCGTCCGGGGAGATTCTATGTTTTTCTTTTTGTCAGCTGACCCAATCAGTCGGTTGATCCCAGCTGGGCGGCTTCATAAGCGTGAAGCCCCAAAGGATCCTTCAAACCTCCACGTCAGACAACAGCCACCAAACATCATCGTCACAGTTTCATGGTACTGGTGCTGTTTTGGTCCGTGCATGAAGCCACTTCTCCACCGGGCCAATCATCTGATGGATTTGGTCGTATTGGTTATTTGTTTTTAATCAATTCCAAACAAATAAATGAAGAGTTCATTTGCAAAACCAGATAAGTCCATCTTCACTAAGCTTCAGAACTTTTCCATCGTCTACCTGAGACAACATCAATCAAACTGAAGTTATCTCTATTCTTGTCATTTCTACTGAGTCAGCTTCAGTTTGATTGATATCATCTCAAGCAAACAACAACAAAAACAAGTTTTCTGAAAATCTACAAAAATGGAGTTTTCTGTTTTTGCAAATGAACTCTTCAAACACATCTTAAAAGGCACTGCTGTGACTCTGACGCTCTTTCCATCACAAGAAACAGACAATCAACACGTCAGGACAAGAGTTTTCTCTTAATTAAAGATGTGAAACATAAATGAAAAAAAGTTTTGTTGTGAAGTTTGTGTTATTTAAAATTCTAACACCAAGATTTTTATTTTTACTGCAAATGCACATCAGATCCGAGTATTTAACTGGATTCTGTGTCCACATCAGATTTGCCTTTTACGGTTTTCTTCTGACTCGTTTTTTATTCTAGCTTCATGTGGTTGTTATGTTATTTGCTATTTTATGTGATTTTATATGTAGATATGCCTTAACTGCAAACCTGAGAGAAGCCAAACCCATGACAAAAATAACTTCCTAAATAACGCGCTGCCATCACCAACAAATCAGAAGAAAACACGATTCTTTTTCATAGACTCAGTCACATTCAGTCACTTTTAGATATTTGTTTCCCAGCAGAAATAAAATAAAATAAACAAAAAAACCAACAACAAAAAAAACCACTATTTGAACTAAAATTGTGACTCATGTCAAAATGATGTGATTTAACAACAACAGATAATGTTGTGTCCTGTTCAGAACTGTGAAGTTCTTTGGGACAAATTTGTGATTTATTTTTGGCTATTAAAATAAAACTGACTTTATTTCAACATGTAAAATCTGCCACATAAAAGTGAAAGTCACGTCTGGTGGAACGCGTTTTATAAACGTTCCAGTTCTCCAAGTTAATCCTACACGAGAGCGTCTACGCAGACAAGCCAACGATAAACACGCCCTGCTGACAAACAGAATGTGAGATGACCAGACATGAAAAGCCGTGTTGGTCTGTCATTGGACGGGAGCTCCAGGTCGCAGCATCGTTGTGGGGACTCGACGTCCTCATGGAGACCAAAAGCAAAAACAATCCCTGATGATTTAAATCCTTCAATTCTATCACTTAGATGTGGTTTAAAGTGAAGTTTGAGTTCAGAAAGAAACGAACATGTCCCCTGAAGTGACAAAAACACGCTCATGTGTGTATGAATGAAATAAGTGGGGGGCAAGTGGGCATTTTCTATCGCATTTAAATTGCAGACCAAAGCAAATTCTCCAACAATAAATGATGCGTCGACGCACTCATCCGTCCACTCCTGCATCTCCTCCTCATGCCTCCCCTACATCCATCCATCCATCATTCCTTCTTCCCTCCCTAAATCCCCTCCGTCCGCCCAGCTATGCGACCCATTAATCCGTCCACCCGTGCCATCCCTTCCTCCTGTTATCCCTTTTTCCTCCCTCTGTCTATAAATCTGTTAGCTCATGCCTCCATCCGTCTCTTCCATTATTCTGCCACTGAACTATCACACCCTCTTCTTTCATCACTGGATACCGCCGCGGCTTCGTGTTCTTCATCTATCATTTTTCTGCCGTCGTGCATACATTAGACTTTGTTCTTTGTGTTCTTAGGGCTTATCTGATAGCGCTGACAGCGCTACCCTGAGTTAGCCGCCGTTGCCGTCCTCCCAGCAGCTCACCTGGTTTCCTGCCAGCAGCACGGTTCCCGGGGTCGGGCTGGGTCGGTATGGAATAGTGGCTCCCTTCGGCGGAGACTGCGGAGACGGAGGGAAAAAAAGAGCAAGAAACGATGAAGAATCAGGTCACGTATACGTCAAGCGTGTCAGGAAATCAGCCCTAACTTGTCGTGAAGCTTTTAGGTTGTTAAACTCAATTTATCCCTCAACGGCCGACACCATCAGCTCGTCATTAAATCTAAAGGACACCGAGGAAAACACTCAAGAACAAGCTCTCACGGCGCCCCGACGTTTCCTGCTTTAACGTCTGATTCATATTTTCGTCCGGGCTTTCCCTGTAATGAACACAGGCCACCTTTTCCTGATTGAAATCCAAACCTTGTGCCATCAAATGGAAACAGTCTAAAGGTCTGGAGGTGACTTAGTGGAGGGTTTAAACATCTTTACATACAGTCAGTGTCCTGGAATCAGCCTGACATGTTTGGTAGCTTTGGAAAACTTCATCTTTTAGCATTTTTGAGTTGATTTCTAAGTTTAAGATGAGTCTGTGACAAATGACCGGCTGCTGAGGAATGACTCTTATCTGCGGTGATATTTACAAGATTTAAATATTTAAAGAACATGTTTCTGTTCCTAGCTTAGAAGGTTTTGGTTAAAAAGGATTAAGTACATACACAGGACTCCCCGTTCTGACTAGATCCAGAGAACTCCTCCAAATGAGCCACATGTTCGTTATTTAACCGGCGAACCATCGTTCACACACAACTCATTTTAAGCTGGAAATCAGCCATGCTCTTTCTTCTATTTGTCATTTTCAGCAGTTTTTATCTCCCCCCCCGTCTAACACGGCGATGTCGTGTACCTCCTCCAAAAATAAATCACAGGACGGCGTGATTGATTGTCAACTGTCTGCTGGTGTTTCAAACATTAGTTTCTTTTTCTTCTGCCTTGAGTGTGTTTGACGCAACAGGGAGACATCAAAGAACAGCAGCAGCGCGATTTCATTCTGCTGTTGCTGCACTGCGTCATAAAGACAAAGGCCCTCTCATTGGAAGACGCTGAATTCTTTGCTTGTTATTTGTTCTGTTGAAATGAAGGAAATCGTCGCTTTTTGTTCTCCTGATGTGATCTTCTAAAACTGCAAGGTGTGATTGATTATTCAGAGCTGGTTGTAGGATACATACCGAGAACACGACCCACTGGTGCTTAATTTGAAAATGAAAACATAACCCAATGCAACACGTCAGTTCTGGCAAAATAAGAAGCTAACACAACATGGAAGCAGCTTATAACTCATTTCATCAGAACACATAGACCCCAGTGATCACCAGCTGTTATGCTCCTACCAATGAGTTCACATCAACATTTTGTCAAAATAGCAAAAAACTCTAACCTTGGCTTGTCATAGTTGCCGCACATCAAATTCTACCGATGTTAGAGCCTCACCAGTCGGTGAAATGTTAAAACACAGACTGGATTTTTAGTAGGAAATATGGATCCATCCATATATATATATAAACATTTCCATTTTCAAGAGCCACTAATGAAAAGCTGGAGCCATTCAGTCATTCAGATCTGCTGGAAACCCTTCTGACTGCCAAACTCTACATCTGTGGGAGTTTTATTCTGGAGACGTTGCACCTTTAAATTGGCTTCTTTGGTATTTGTGACGGTGAAAACATTCAGGTCAGGTCTGAATGGACGAAATTCTCAAAATTCAGCAAAGTTTTCTGTTACACAGCTTGGGTTTGGGTCCAAAATAAGAAAAAGTGAACTCTGAGTGACGTGTGAGACGTGCAGCGACACTGACGGACTTGCACGGACCAACCATGTTGTGTTACGATTTTTGTACGACACAGAATTTGATCAGAGGTATCGGGGTGGACAATGGATGCATAAAAAGCAGGACTTTGACACCAGACTTTGTGGGTCCTGAGTTAAACGTTAACAGATCATTTTGTATGTTTTGTTTTTCCCATTTGTGTGTTTGTTGTGCTTCTATTGGTCGAGCTAATTTGCGTTCTCCAGTTCTGTTGTAGAGATTCAGGATATATTGGAACAAAAAGCACAAACTCTCTAAAGCTTTACGAGAAAACCGATTCTTACTCTAATTATTTTAAATGTTTACTTTCAATCTGACTGTAAGGAAACAGAAATGAGTCAACTGGATCAAACATTTTGCTCAACAAAAGGACAATTTACATCCAGGATATTGTTGTCAGTCGATATCTTCTTACCGTAGTGGACACATCCGTCAAATCAGAGAACAAAACCAGCTAATATTTTAACCTCCTTTCTGATCTTACGCTGCCGTGGTGAAGGCTTTGGCTGGAAACAGCTCGATTAACCCCCTCTGCGCTCGACTCGACGCTCTATTTTAAATAGCGCTGAATCAAATCAGACATTGTTGGAAAGGACAAAGCCTCACGATTCAAACGGCGTGACTCACCAACACTACAGCAGCAGCGGCAGAGTATTTGGGGATGTTTTTCAGTAAAGGAAGGGGGCTGAATGTCAAAGAAAGATCATAGTTTAGGATGAAATTATAACTTTTCTATGGAAGCTTTGTTGTGATGGTCAACTCCATGAACAGCAGCTGAAGTCAGATGTTCTGTTGACCCGTCCATCCACCCTAACAGACAACATCACGATAGTTCAGGAAACATTGAGTTGAGTCTGTAAGTTTGAACCTCACAGGAAAGCAGCTTTTTCCATTCTTTTGTCCAGATCTGGCTCCTACTTTCCCAGAATGCACCGGGCGGAAGGCAGCTTGACAACAGTCCGTCAGAGGGCCACGGCAGATCAAACGACTTCTGATTTGAGATCAAACGAACGCACGGACGGATCCTCGCGCTGACAGACCGCATCGGCACTTGAAAGTGAATGAGTTTAGGTCAGCGTTTTTATTTCTTTTCTTTCCGTCTCATCCCAGATTAAGGTGCTCTGAATACCAACGAGCCGCCGCAGCCTTTGATTTCACTGTTTCCGCCGCTGATCTCCGAGACGCAGCTCGTCCTAATGACTGCAGCCTCTGATTAATTACGGTACAATCACGAGTTATGGATTTTCATTTTGAAGCCTATTGAAGGGGCGGACGACATCTCATAGAAACACTGATGTTAATTCAGAGCAGGCAGGTAGACGTCATCGCGGTGTTACAGCATGAATTTTTAAACGAATCACCTCTGCCGGTTTGAAATTAGCATCAGGTTGCATCAGAAAGAGAAACGTCTTGTTTGTCGTGATCATAAAAAATACATCAAGGAGGAGAAAGTGAAGCTGGTGTTTGTGTCGCCGGCTGTCGGTCTCAGCGACACGATGACGGAGGAAAAACTTCTTTGAGTTCAACCCGTAACTTGAGGTCAGACTTTTCAACTCATTACCGAGAGCAGAAGTTGTGAATGTGGTTGTCGTGGCAACTGTGCCGGTGCACACATTCAGAAAGTGATAAACCTTGAACTGTGAAAAACTCAAAACAGCTGCAATCAATGTTTTTATAATACGTGAAAATAATGTGAAAGGTGTTTCTGGGAGTGATTAACCTGTTGAGAATATTATCTGATCTGCTGCACGCACAGAGCTGTACAGAGGTTTATCTCTTTGTTAGCTGCCAAGCTACAGGCGCTACCGTTTATGTTCACCCTCATAGCAGACTGAACAGACGAGCTGGTGAACATCACGAAGCATTTAGCCGCTAAAGAACCAGATATTGATCTTAGAAGGTAGGGCAGACCAAAAACAGAGCTAAAATAGAGTTACGACATTTAATAAATAATTAGGGATATGCGACATATCGGCGACCACATCGGTATTGGCCAATATTCGTGTTTTTTTCCCGACATATCGGAATCGACCTGATGAACAAATTTAACATCAGCGCCTTCGTCTCTACGTTTATATCGCTGCTTCTTCACAGATGTTCTTACTTAAATGGTCCTGGACTTGAATATGTTTAAATATGTTTTACTTTTAATAAAGAACATTATGTGGTCTAGTTTGGTTGGGGCTTTTTTCATTGTGAACAAAAATTGAATATCGACATCGGTAATATCGGGTTGTTGGCAGTATCAGAAATCTTAATATCAGATATCAGCAGAAATTTTAATATCGTGCATCACTATAAATAATAATAAAAACGTGTAATCATTTATTATTGTTGTCACATCAGTGCATCAGGTGACATCACAGGTTTAATATGAATTCATTTTAAAACACTTCTGCTGTGCTTCGTCTCTGTGTTGACACTACTCCAGCATTTTAAAATCCCTAAAACGGAGACTTCTGAAGCTTAAAACAGATACTCAAAGACACAAATCATGTAAACACTCATGTTCATTTCCTGATTGGTTCGTGATGACGTACTGTGGCCTGATTCATCATCTTGAATTAGAAATATTGTCTATAACTTTGGAGATATTATTAGGAAACACTGCCTAAACGTTCATTGCTATGCAGATGAGACCCTCCTATATTTATCAATAAAGCCACTTGAGAGAACATCAGTTACTAAAACTTAAGACTAAGTCTTAAAGGCCTGTGTGACCTGTAATCTTATTCATTTAAATTCAGACAAAGCTGAAGCCATTGTATTACCATTAAAAAAAACAAAACTGAAATCTGAAAATTAAATTGGGTGGTGGCACCTACGCAGTTCAGGAAATATCTGTCCTTTCTTTTCACCATTACTGTTCTTCCTCCACAGTATTTTCTCCAACAATGCCAAGCTCCTTCTGACCCCACCCACTTCAGGAAGAAAACTCACTCTGTCACAAAGGGACTCCTGGTTAGCATGTCGTCTGAAATAGCTGCATTTAAGTCACTATTTCACACTTTTCCTTCTGTCTGACAGAAATACAAAAATCTGTAAATGAAAAGTTTTATTGTGAGTTCAGCTGATATTAAAATGCAGTTTATGTGAGCAGGAGAGAAGCTAACAGATGTAAACCATCTCTCCATCAAAGCTAACGTTAGCCACATTAGGTGCACAATGCGTTAACATGAAGAATTTTCAGATATTGCAGGGGCTTTGCCATCAATAATAAATATAATCCACCAGGTGCTCAGATGGTGGCCATGCATGAATACTCTTGTGTTCACTCTTGCAGCCAACAGCAGCTTTAAGTCATTTTGAACAAATTTTAAACTTATTTTGGACAAGTTCTGTGTCATTTTGGACATATTTTGATTAATTTTACACAATTTTTCAAGTAATTTGGCCAACTTTGAGTACACAAAGACTCTTGCGGACTCATTTTCCAACTCACTCTGGACAGTTTAGACAGGTTTTTGTCATTCTGCACTGATTTTGAGTCATTTTAAACATGTTTCTTGACAAGTTTTGAGTCTTTCTGGACAAATCAAGTAATTTTGGACAAGTCTGAGTGCATGAAGACTCTCGTGTTCACTCCGAAAGCAGAACATTTGGTGAGTTTTGCTCGCTGTTGAGACATTTTAGAATCAAGAGGAGCAGCTGTAGAACGTAAATAAATCTGCTGGACTGAGAGGAAGCTCCTCATTCTGATTGGTTCACCTGGAAGCAGTGAGGGGGCGGAGCTATACAGAGTGTGGACGCGTGCTGGTTCATGGTTTTACGTCGCATTTAGGTCAAATTCTCTCTGGCTTGTAAAGCTGGGTGGGTAAATACTTGTGGAGGAGCCTGAGTGAGGGCAGAAGTAAACGTCTTCATGTCTTAACAGCTTTAAGTTTATGCATCAAAGTTTATAAGAACCACAAAACACAACAAGAATGGATCTCGGTACCCACCTCTAGGATGACAGTGCAGATGAGCTTAACGCACTGGATGATGGCGTCTTGGCTTCCTGATATCGTCACTTCTCTCTCCGTGGAGTTGGGTAGGAGGTCACCTGCCACCTGCACCTGCGCACCTGTCGTCTACACGAAAACACACAAAAACACAAAAACAAATTCTCTAAATGCAAGAAAACACAGGAGTCGGGATTCTGTCAGTAGCTGCTGCGATTCAGTATTTACAGATGGAACGAGGAGCGTGAATCGAGGAGAGTTTCAGGTGGCACTTTGATGGTGTTTAGCAAGTTTGTTTAAGTGGAATTAATTCACTCGCTATTTATCTCCTCCAGGCCTTGGTTAGTTGACTCACGTTGCTATGGAAACTGTCAGATCCGCGACCTCACATTCAGCTCGATATGATTCGCCTGTGAAGTTTCCAAGGTCTTATTTCACGCTGCGCCGCCACTCGCACTATCACTCGCTCGCTCGCTCGTTGGAATTTTACATTTCAAAAAGATAACTTTGCTTTTTGTCCACGGACGCCTTTGGTTTATTTAACAAGGTTTCGGTCTGACGGGAATCCAGCGCGGGTCAAAGACATCTGTCAGGAAGCATCTGCGTACGGGAGCTCGTCGCTGATTCTCCCCGGACGCTGGACGGATGTTTGTCTGCAAACTGGTGATCAGGTACAAAAGTCTGAGCTGAAATAATCGGATTCCCTCCACCGGGCCTGGACGGGCAAACTGTTATGCCGACTGTGTAAACACTTTCTAGAAATAGTGTCAGACTGGGAGCATAAAGTCGACTGAAGCGTCCTCTGAGTAGTTAAATGCAGGAAATCTGTCAAGTTAAATATCAGAAGGAGTGTTTAGAGTCAACCCCCTGAATGTTGAAGCAAACAGGATTTAACAGAAAAAGGCTGTGCGTAAAACAGACGAAGCAGCACAGCCACTGGTTTGTGAGCTACCGTTTGGACAAGTTCTTGGAGCGATGGGTGAACTGATTTAATGCTAATGCTAACATTAGCCACATTAGCCACCTAGTGCAGTTTTTTTTCAATGGCTGTAGGGCAGGGGTGTCGAACTCCGGTCCCCGAGGGCCGCAATCCTGCAAGTTTTAGATGTTTCCCTCTTCCAACACACCTGATTCAAATGATCCGGATCACTATCAGGCTTCTGCAGAGCTTGATGATGAGCTGATCAGTCATTTTACCATTTGTAATTTGACAAAACCTGAAAAATCTGCAAAATTGTTTAAAAAATTTCTGATGAACATGTTTGAAAACTTGGTCTAGACTTATGGAAGACTTCCCATGATGCACTGGGCTCCTCATCTCCATACAGTAGTACACCACCTTTGTGCTTTCCGTCCCTGCTGACTTGACTCACCTCGCGGATCTCCTTGATCTTAGAGCCTCCTTTGCCGATGAGCGAGCCGCACTGGCTGGCTGGGATCACCAGCCGGAGGGTGACCGGAGGTTTACTGGTCACTGTGCCGTTGGCGACCAACGCTGCCAAGTCCTGGGAGACGGAAGAATAAGAGGTGTTTAATTTACACCCTTTAGTTTTAGTGTGACTGGAGAAGAACGGCAGCGTGTTCTGGTGTAGAAGTGACTCCATCTCAGGGTTTTTTTTTTCCTGCAAATTGAAATTCGAGGCTGTTTGAACAACAATATCTCAGGAACTAATTAAGATAAAAACCTGAAGTTAGAGACTCTGAGCCACCGACATGATGAGAAACAACAGTGGAAATTTCAGGTTCTCATCTTAAACAGTTCCTGAGATATCGTTGTTCAAACAGCCCTTAAATTTCAATGTGAAATAAAACCTGCTGGAAATGGCTCAAAACAACATATTATCTGTAAAGTGTTTGATAGATCACGATGAAACTTTACAGACACCTTTGTAAATATCCGTATTCCATGCTATAGAAAAATCAGGCAAATTAGACATAGTCGAGAAGAAATTGTTCTAAAGGTTGACGATTACAGACGGAACAACTCCAGAGAACTGATAGAACAACTGATAGAACAACTAATGGAACAACTGATAGAACAACTGATGGAACAACTGATGGAACACTTTCAGTCTGTCCTGAAAACATATAAATACTCTGTTACTCTGAAAACCAGCAAAACCATCAGCAATCACTCACTAACAGACCATTCTTCATAAATGAAAGCATGAAAGCATCCACAGTCGATAATCCGACCCTTAACAATCCTAAACCCGCTATCCGACAGGTTTTCAGGAAAAACCAACAGAACCCATAAAAACAGCCTTAACATAGCGACAACCTTGGATTCTGACTCCGACATGACATTTAATGTCACGTATTATCTGACTGAACAATCCCACAGATTGGCTACGTTCACACTGGAAACAGAAGTGTGAGCGCTAACTGAACTAGCATCAGCAGCCAAGTGCTGCCTGTGTGTTCTGGCCCTTCCAGCATCAAGCCCTCCTCGTATCTGGACCTCCGTCTTGACAATCCGACACAAAAGAAGGTTTTACATTTAGCGTCGGATTGTCGAGTCGCGGCTGTGGTTGATTTTCAGTTCACGTTGAAGCCTTCTCACGCCTCTGAACGCGTGACCTTTTCATGTTTCTGACCAGCAGCTCAGTNAATCTTTATTTTTCTATTTTCTAATTTTACATTTTCAGTAAATGTTTTCTGTTCAAACAGAACCTTTGACCAGCTGCTGCAGGTCTTTTTTTTAAAAAAATGCAAACCGTTGTTCTTCTAAAGAGAACCGTGCATGTGTTTGATACGAGAACACGAACCTGCAGCGTGATGAACCACCAGAACCCGGACGATTCATCACGCTGTCCTGAAACAGCTCAGAGAGATTAATGGGAAAACTCGGCCTGCTTCCTCCTGCAGCGGCTGTAAATTAATGCTAAATAAACTCCTGCTTAAGTGGCTTCAGGAGACGCTGATGGAACATTCACGCGACGCCGACGACACTCGGGCAGGTTCACCTTTGAATAAACGGCCCTAACTGCATTAAAATTAAACATGAGCATCTCTGAGACGCAAACTATGAACAAAATTTCACCCAAACTTTGGTTAATAAATGAAAACAACAGAGCTGCTGTGAATCTGACTTGATGCTGTTCAGTGAGCTAATGTTAGCGTTAGCTTCTTCTTAGCATGTCTGTGTTTTTTTTTTTATTTGGGTGACGGAAAATATTTAGCGTCTGCAAATACGGAGTTCCAATCGGATACTATTTTCCCCCCAAAATATGCACTTTAAGTATGTTAAAGGCAATAAAATCAGTCTAATGTTTATGCTTGACAACTAAATGTCTCGCATTAAGAAAAAATGAAGCTAAGATATACTGTGGCTCCACAAGCCCCCTAAAAATGAGGAAAACCTGTATTCTCTACATGCATGTCATACAAGGTGTCGTAGACCAGCTGCAGTACCTGGTTGTTCCACCAGGTGGCGCCTCTTCCTGTTTACTCCTGTAGAGACCAGACAGAGGCGTAACTCAGACTATAACTCATGGTGGCAGCAGAGAGCATTGTGGGAGTTTAGCAGCAACGGGCACCATGACAACGACATATGTGACCCTCAATGACCTCCAGGCCAGCGTCTTTATATCTAAGGAAAGCTTGGACCCACCAGGACGGTGTCTGAATACCTCAGGGGCAAATATAACAACCCTCATGTGTAAATGATGCTGACTGAAGCAGCATTTCTGTTATGAATTGATTGAATATTGGTTGTTAATTTGCATCCCGACTGTGCGCCAGCAGATGCAAACAAAGCGTTTAAGTTTGTGCCGACTGGGATCGGTCCATCCCTAAACATGGTCTGTCTGATGCTGGTAGCTCCAGACACTGAGCGCTGGGCCGTGAGCTCTTATTAAATGCATTAGCAGGCCTCTCCGATGCTAACAGATGGAGCACCAGTTGCTGCAGCTGCTGCGACGCTACGAGCTGCAGACGCCGTAAATCTAATAACATAATCACATCAGTCTGCATTTCTGCATCGAGCGCTTTCATTACTTTAAGTTTCCTGATGCTGCTGGTTCCTCTTTACAGCCGTCTGAGCAGCGAGCACTCGACTCCTCTTGTAGCTCAAATTCAAGCGTGAACTCATCCTCGCAGCCACAGTTAATAGGGAATGAAGCTCCTCGTGCTTTCGTTTGTGGACTTGCGGACCAAAGAAGCAGACATCACATGAATGAAGCTGTAACAGAGCGAGGCGGATGTGTTTCCTCGGAGCCGTCGGACTCCTCTTTGCTTTCTAACAGCCGGTAAATTCAGCGGACACAATGAGACGTCTTCTACGGCGTCTTTTCTCCGTGTTTCCTTTGCTGTGCTTGTTTTCTATCTCGTCACCTCCTCTTTCTCTCCTTCGTGTTTTTTTTTTTTTTTACTCCTCGGCCTTCGCTTTGTGATCTGTTCATGTGGAAACAGAGGATTCATATTTATGGAGGCCGTCGGTGCAGAGGTGTTAATCTGGGATCCTTGACCCGCTGACCATCTGCTTTTACGACGCCGGCTGTGATTGAATCCGGGTCCTCTGGACTGTTTACCTGCACAGCTCCTGAACAGATTCCTCCCAGTAGATCATTGGTCTAACGTGGGCCTGTGTTGGTGATAATAAGCTGTTTAATCCTGAATGGACTCGATTAGATCTTCTACATTCTGGAGGGACACTGAAAGGAAACGATTCTAAACGATTCAACCTGCAGCATGTTCTCAGGAGGCCAATAAAACTCTGAGCGTTAGTAAAAAAACAAACTTTACCAAAGCGTCCACACACATGTAAAGACCACGTCTATGACGGCAGTATGGAGCTCCAAACCACTGCTGCTCAGCATAAAGTTCATGGTCCAGTTGTGTTACTGCCACCATCAGGAAGAAAACTCAAACTACCTGCTGCTGCTGCTGAGAGACGACTGGTCAGGATGGTCAAGAGTCAACCAGGAACCAGCAGAAAGCAGCTCTGGATGGACCAGAAGCTGCCTGAACACAGCTGTCAGTGTCCACAGGGTCTGACATCAACATGAGTCGAGAGGCTGATGGAGAAGGAAGTTCTTCCTCCAGAAGACCACCTACCATCAGGCATGGAGGTGGCAGCATCATGCTCTGGGGCAGTAAATGGACCAATGAAGAAGGAGGATCACCTCCACATAGTTCAGGAAAACCTGAAACCATCAGCAGAAGGTTGATCTTGGACACAGTTGGATGTTCCAACCAGACAATGAGCCCAAACACACATCAGAGTGGTGAAGAAATGGTTCCATCAGGCTGAATGAAGGTTCTAGACTGGTCTCCCCAAAGTACTGACTGAAACCATCCAGAACCTGTGGACTGGTGAAGAAACAAGTCTGAAGTCAGAAAGACGACAGATTCCATCGACCAACTCTAGTGTGGATGTTGTTGGTGGTGGGTCTGTTCACCAGATATATACGTTCCTTTAATCACATGTGAAGGACGATGCTCAGGGTAGAACTTCTGCTTCTTCAGTTTTAGAGGAACCAGGTGAGGAGATCAGGACGCCTCATTCCTTAGAAGGTACACGTGGGTCAGAGCCAGATTAAACTGGATAGATTATACGTCTTATCCGGCCTGAGATCTCCAAGGCAGAGGGTACTTTAGGGATCTTTGCTTGGATTGTAACCTGATTTCAGAGAAGTCGCAGCGGGTAATGAGAACGTTCTACTAGAAGGTTGCGACAAACTCCTAGAAGATATAGATAGAGACACAGAAACAATCACTGGCACCTTGGATGTGTTTTAAACTTTAACAAGTGCATTCTGAGTAAACTTTCTCGTGCCAGCATGTGTGATGGTGGTTGGTCAGATAACCCCATCACCTCCATCTGATCATCTTCTAGACACCATTCACTCTGTGGGCAGAGCTGCTTTCTAACACAGTCGAAGGCTTCATGAAACATAGTGAAGTGATTGCAGACAGACGAGCAGCTGGTTCTGAGGAGGTCCGGTGGGAGGCGCCCATTGATTTTTCATGCAATGAGCTCGACACATTCTGCAAACACACTAACGAACCGAGTGAAGGTTCGTTCTCATTAGATTTTATTAGCATCACTAGAATGTGCTGCAGGTTGACGGGGCTGAGTCCAGACGCTGTTTTCATCTTTTAACGCGGCACCTGGCTGTCGGATGGAGTGAAGGCAGTGATGAGGTTCTACTCACCTGCTGCAGGTCCACGCCGCCCTGAGCCACCGAGAACAGGGGGTGGGAGCCGAAGTCCGACGCCTCGAACACCTTCAGAGACACAAAGAGAGTCGAGGCTGGAGTCAGAGCCTGAACCCAGTTAAAGCATCAGATCCAGACCAGAACCCGTGACAGAGCAGCTAACACGCTAAATACCACGACTGAGGTGTGACATCAGTCAGGACATGAAGCTAAAAGACACAAAGTCGACCTTGAAATTTAAAGTTTCAAATTCATTCATTCGACTCATTATTTCAAGAAAAGACTTAAAGTGAGAGAAAAAAAATCATGTCAAGAGTTTCTGAAGTAAAAACTTCAAATTAAATTCACTTTAAATAAATAAAACTTTGTGACGGTGCCAGAAAGAAACAAACAACATTCAAAAACTGTGGAAATAATGACAATTATATGTAAAATAATGATAA